AAGCTAGTAACATGTACATATAATTGTATGTAATTCTCAATTAAAACATCAAAGCTTGTAGGAGTGCCGGTTGTATTATTTATAATTTAGTAACATTATTTATGAATAATAATATATTATTTTTTTGTAATTTTAAGTAGACAACAATTTTGAAGAAAGAAGGAGTAAAATAGCATAAATCATAGCAACATTATCATCGTTAACACGTGGTAGTGATTTCATTACACCTAAAAAACAAAAGTTGACTCCTTAATTCGAAAAGACTAAAAATATAATTAAGGGGTTAAAATAATCACATCTTGTACTTGCTTTTCCATTATTATTATTTTTTTATGTTATTTTCGTACAAACAATCATTACAAAAAAATTATAATTACATTTTGTTATGTTATATAAAAAGGAAATATATACAATAGTAGAAGTTTATGTAGGTAATTGACAAAATTGAAACATACACGTATAAAGTAAGTATATACAGGAATGAAAAAAGAATAAAACTTACAAAAAAGTAATACAGTAAAAACGGATACATACAGAGTTGTAGAGAATTGGCATATATGGTATAACAACAAAAAAATTCTTGAAACATAATAACTAAATATAATATCAAAGTGAGAACAGGAAAAGAAAAAGTCTTAACTACTAAAAAATGTCAAGACAATCCATACAGACATTAGAAAAAAATTAACGTTTAAATAGTTTCCAACAAGATCCAGATAGAAACATGTGATGATGTCAACAGAAAAAAAGAAATATGCAAAGAACCAAAGAAGAATACAAATTTTATTTTATTACTGCATTAAAGGCTTTACTTAATGCCAAATCTCGCTAAAATTTTAGTTAGTAATACAGCCAGTATTATTTGCAAATGAATTATGTAGATATTTTATACAATGTGCATGTTATTTCCATATTTATATTTAAAGAAAATAAAAAATATATATCATATAACTACATTTTATTTGGCATATACAAAATATTTTTCATATTGTTTGCACAGCTATTATAGTTAACTTATAGTCTTATTATAAACTACATTAATCACTTACTTTGACAAAAGGAAACTATAAAAAGTTGCGAAGAAAAAAAAAAAAAGTAAATAACACTAAACCTATTAGACAGCGCCATCTAGTGGTGATGTACACAAAACAATTATAGAGCAAAAGTCATTTTTTATCATATAATAAGATAAAACTTATATTATTTAAGAACATAGTTCATAAAATGCATAAAAACCTTCCAAAATATAGAAACAGAAGAATTTACAATAAAAATTTTTATTGTACGAGAATCGAACTCACAGCCATCAGAATGTCACTAAGGTCGACATAAATATGTTATATTATAAAACAATTACAATTAATTCATAAATAAATGTTACTACATCAACGTAATATTAGCCAAATGCTTTATAACTCGTGAAGTCTCAAATTGAAAGTAGAAAAAAGTGGGTAACCGATAAAAAACGGGACGATTCGTTCGAGCAACCCTTTTATTTTGTTCGGCCGTTCTCTTTTTACTTTTATTCTAAAAATATCGCATTCACGAACCAATTTCGAAAGGAAACGTGATTTTGTTCAAGGTCAAGTGAATTAGTATTCGTGTAGTGTATTCGCTGTTTGACCGGACGCAAAAAAACTAGTTAATACTCTCAAGTTTTTTCCCCATCTTGATTAGGAAAGCTAGCCAGTCTTTGTGGCTGATTTAATAATATGCGCTTAGGAAGTTTATCAAATTCGGAAATATATACATATTTTTATGGAATAACTAGGTACTGATCTTACTTACGTGTAATTAGATTGAAAAAGCTCGATTAGTTATAGAATCAATTCGTAATCCTTAGTCATGAGCTACTGTGACACTAGCATAGGCCTGACTGCATTACATTACATTAAAATATAATGTGTGCTTACGAAATTTTTAACAATAAAATATACACATAGGAAAAAAATTTGTTTGTTGTTGATATTTGTTGTAATAGCTACTGGAAATCACAAACAGTGGATGCCTACACGGTATATGTGCCTAATGGCAAACGCAGCGGAGCGGTCTAGAAATTTTTAATACCAGAGGGTGACACCTTCACACAATTTATCTTCTATTAATATCCTTACAGTGAAAGTAAGTTTCATTGTTAACTTGACGACTTAATCGGTTATGAGATTTATCCATCTATTTAGCAAGAAAGAGGATACAGTGTCCCAGTTAGGACCGTCTAGAATTATACCAAATGAGAAGAAGCTATGTACGAAAAGCGATTGCATTTATAATTTATACCTTTCAGCCAATCCTGACTTCACCTTAGATTATAAATAGACATTTATAGTCACATTTTTTTTTTTTCTCATACCGTCCTCATACAGCCCATATACCACATTAATATAATAAATACTTACTAATATTATAAATGTGAAAGTAAGTTTGTCTGTTTATTACAACTTAGAGACTTAATGGTTTAACCAATTTGAATAAAAGTAAACGTAATTTTTATATCTACTCTAATATGAACGTTAAAGTAATATGTACTATAAATATAACTAGACTTCAAGAAGGTTCCTAGACGACTTACCTTACAATGCTACAGACAGACATACAGTACTATAGTACTTATAACCTTCCTTTTGCGACAGAGAGGAGGAAAAACAGGCAGACGTCTCAATTAAAAAGAATGCATTGTAGCATTGTCACAGAATAGTATCTAATAGCAGGTGCGTACTATTTTTTAATATTTAAAATTATATATATAAAGGAAAATACCTGTGTAATCAATGTTAAACGTGCATTATTACCGTAACTGCACATGCATCAATCCTGTAGGTAATCATATTACATAGTTCCTGTCATATTACAAAGCATTATGTAGCTTGGAGAACAAAATTAGCAGTCAATTGTACCTAAGTAAAAAAAAAAAATTATGGTATATTTAAGAATAGAAAAATAAAGATAGATTCATAAAAATAACAAAATTGTCACAAACCTATTTTACTGTTTTCTTACCTTTTTTACTTTCCTATTGTATTATTTACTTATTCTTTTGAGTTAAATTCTCAATTTGAATGAAAGTGACAAAACACTGTAATAGTCAAAGTTTGTAATAGTTTTGGTTTGTAGGAGGTTTTAGTTTTTTTTTATGAATAAGGAAAATAAATATATTATATTAAAAAAAAACATGCTTTTCAATAATAGGTACATATTTTTTTCATTTATTTTTATGGAATTAAACATTACTACATATCTCATTATTTATTGAAGAAGTTTGTCGAAACAGGTTTTATATCTTTGTTTATTTACAAATTTGTCCGAAAACTTTATCCTCCTACTAATCCTTTCCTTATTTATAATAAACGGGAAAATGAGTTTGTTTGTTTGTTACTTATATCGCCTTAACTAATTACTATGAAAATTGATGTTGAAAGATTGAATATGAAAATATATACGTTCTAAATGGAAGGAAGGAAGGATATAGACTACTTTTTATCCCGGTCAATCAACAGTTTTTGGTCACGCGGATGAAATCGCGGGCAAAAGCTAGTATTATATGTACGAGTATAAGTAAGTTTGTAACTCAATACCTCTTACACGATTGAATGTGTTTGAAAGAAGTTTAATACACACATAGGTTATATTCTACTTTTTCTATTTTTTTTTTATAGAAGTTGGTCATAGTGACCACACCCCACCTGATGGTAAACAGGTAAGGTTATTCAAATATGAGAGATGTATTATAGTGTATTATATATAGGTGTATGTATGAATGAGAGAGTATGCAAATCATACTGTGTTGACAATCGTCATATTGACAGCCTGCATATATCTCTTTACGCTCCACTTAAATTATAGATAGGAGGCTAAAGACATAAACGGGAAGAGAATTCCAAAATATAAATAATAATTCGACAGAGGTATGAACTCGCGAATCTTTTAGTACGCACAGTCAACGTTTATTTAACACATAATCCTATGTGTTGAATGAATGTTTAAAACTTTATAAGATTCACGCGGGTAAAGCCACAGTAAACAACTAAGAAGTAATATTTATGGATACTTCCATAGATATAATAAGTTTATGTTAATGCTTATTTTTTATATCATAAACAATTTATAAATAAATCCATATTTGTATTGGATGCAATTTATAATCTAAGGTCAATTATGAGTTTTATGAAGAAAACTTTTCCGCTTTATTTTAAATATTTTATTAACTATCGCATTTTATGGGCTTTTACTTACCAAGAAATGTGAGTCATGTAACAGATAGTATTTTATGCAGAAACTTAAACCCAGACATGAGTTGATTCACTCCCTATTAGAAGTACTTGCCTACCTACTTTTAATTTCATTTTTGAACGAGTTATATTACCTTAAATGAGAATTTAAAAAGTTAATTACGTAGCATCATCGTAAAATTTCGATAATTTAAAGTAAATAATTTGTTTTTTTATAATATTATTACTTAAAGTTAATACATTGTAGTGAGGGGGTCGCGACACTAAAAAGGTTAAGATGCTCTACGCAATCTTTTAACCTCCTGTTTACATTCACAAATGCCCTTCCTTAATGAATGTCTATTTTACGAAATTATTTGTCAATTTTCATAAATAAATTTCAAAGAGGTCATAGGTTTTTATTTTACATAAATATAAATCAAAATTAATACATAAATGAGTGTTATTTAACCCGAGGCTATTTTACTGCCGTAAATAAACCTACTACGTATAATCTCTAGTAAACGTGTCTCGTGTTCCTTCTTTGTAATCAGTTATTTTCTCTAATTAATTTTCTTTAAGAGTTAACTTGTTTAAAGACTACTTATATTACATATACATAACCTTCTTATATATAAAAATATTATTCAATTCACTAGTAGTTGATTGTTATTAACATGATACAATAAAGTGAAGCCGGTACTGTAATCATAACCTCAAAGCTTGGGGTCGCCTATCGGCTGGGCTATAGGGAAGCGCGCAGCCGCTCAATGTTGTCACGCATGCGCAATGACACTACCTACCACCAAATAGCGAACTAACAACGCTTTTCACAACCAGAGAAATAACGATGTCTCGTATTCAACCATATCGGTATTAATGGTCCGCGTAACTGAGACAAGTCCGCATTTGTGTGATATTTGAATGCATGCGAGCATGCTATCAGAACACGTGTGACTAAAAAACGTAGTGATATTTTTCGTGATATCTAGCATCAACTAACATGTACAAGACAGTGAGACACGGTGAGAACAGTCTCCAATACACCATCCTTCCGCAAACGGAGGAGGTGCTCAATAACAGTGGCCTAAAAGGTAAAGGTAGAGACTACAGCCCGTCGATCCATGTGCGACGGTCTCGAAGGAAATCTACAGTTAAATATGTATTGCTGATAATATTTGGAATAGTTGTTGCACTCGCGCTAGCTTCCGTTCCATTATATGTTATGAATGGAGCATTATATACTCGAAGGAGTCAAAGAGAGCAACATGAAATTGTTACTACAGCCCCCTTAGCACCAACAGGACGTGAAATAGCAAAATCTAGGAAAAAGGAATTAAAGATTTCACCCGGAATTTCATCAGTTCTTGTATCAAAGTTGGAAAAGATCAAAGATACATCTTCAGTTGCACCCACAACCACTTCTTCAACTGCTTCCACAGTAATAAATGAGAGAACAACGACTCTGCCATGGATTGTTCCTGCTTTGAATTCTTGGAAAGGTTTAATTTCTTCCACTACGATCCAACCAATTCCAACAGAAGGAAATGAAAAGATACCACTTATCGGTACACCGTCTGGCAGCATACGATTACTTGACAACTACATGTCAATGAAACCTTGGGATAAAGATATAATAATACGACCAAGCATTACACCCGAGGCCGTCACTCTTCGTAATATCTTCAGATATTATTCACGCTCATTTCCACCTTCTGAAAAATTAACTACTGCCAGTACAAAGTTATTTGAAGACGTTTTAATAACCACTAAAGCGACTACTACAACAAGACCTTCAGTTACTACAGAATTTGCGACAACTAGCGAAAAATCAAACCTCAAAGATTTAAAAGATACTATTCTTTCAGTAGATGATGATGACGAATTTAAAGAATCGTTGGAAGTGGATGAAGTTTTCTCACTACCGCCTTCGAAGCCCGATTCTTCATCATCAGGCACTGATTCTGATGAAGTCACCATTTCAAAAGCTGGTGATAGTGAATGGTACGGAGCTAGGTGGCCTTTCGTTGACACTTCTTCATACTTCCAATGGACGGTAAGCAAAACACTCATTTTATCCAGCTTATGTAATAAATAAATACGTAATATTCTGCGACTTAGCTTACGAATAAGATACAAATATAAATCTTTAAGAATATGTACATTCATTATTACTTATATAATTAAAGACTGTTTCCCACATAAAAAGCCGACTTCAATTGTGACAATACCAGTTATTAATTTAAATACTGAACCAATTTTGATAACATTTCTATTGAATCAATCTGTAATTATATCCTTTAAGATAAAAGAAATATTTTTCCAGATCGATTTAGAACTGACGAAGTTATGTGGTAACAAACATAAAAAAATACAACCGAATTGAAAACCTCCTTAGTTTTGAAGTCCATTAAAATGCAATATAATTATGTCAATTTTAAAAACCCACATAGCTTATGTAATCTAAGTATGCATATAAAATTATCTACTGATCAATATACAACCGAAACTTTACATAATGTAAATTATGCATTAACACAAAACTTCCCGAAATTCTTGCGGAAGTGGCAGATACAGGCTTTTACGCATGTAAATCCCCAGAATATGGTGATACTTTAATAAACAGGATTAAACTTGGTTGGACAAGATCCGTGAAGCCACGTCACATTTTCTCAACTAAACTCTTAAAGTTTGAAAATAAAATTCTAACCAATGCGTTTTACTGTTAATGACACCTACTGGCTGCTATCTTACTTATCGAAACTAAAATACAATCTACGCTGCTTACCATATGAGGAAGTTTCAAAAGATGAAAATGTTTGCTGAAAATCCAAAGTGAAACAAACGCAATAAGCATTCTGTTCTCAAACAACATTTAAAGTGGGAAGCCTATTTCAGGAGTAGACATTTTAAAAATGATGATTATGAAGATACAAAATTGTATGGTCTAAACTCTCATTCCGTTACATACATACATACCAAAGTCGTGTATCAAACTTTACACATACGAGTACTGTCTACAATAAAATGAAAAATAATTTTCTAACAAGATCCAATATTCAAATTAAAACATTTCCATCAGTTACCTATAAAGGTGAGGGTTACATTGCTACTTATTCAACATCCATTATTTATCTTCTTCTTCCAACCCTTAATCTCAAGACTGTTTAGGGTCGGATCTTCTTGTACTGCGCTGCCAGGATGCTCCATTCTGGATTGTTGTTAGAAGCTAAATTCTGTGCTTTCGTCACCTTCTCAGTATTGAAATACCATGTAGCGGGAGGGAAACTGATGTATATTATACCCTCTTTTAATAATAATGTAGCATAATTATATCTACCTACATATATATTAGTAACGGGAGACTTGATGCGCTATCAGTAATAAACCAGTATTCTTTCATACCAGTTGTTATCACTTCGCGGACCATCCTTAAAACATATCAGAAACCCTTTTTTTATATGGTCATACCATCGAAACTTCTTTCTTTTAGTTTATTCATTATTCGTGTAACTCTGAAAGATCCTTGCATACATTACATTACATGCTTGTTACATATTTTGTCCATACCGCCCATCCAATGTAACATCTTCATTTCAGCTGTGTGATATTGCTATTCAGGCTTCTTTGTTGTTGTCCAGCATTTTACTCCAAACATCATTGCGGGTCGAACAGTCAACTTGTAGACTTTGCCTTTATTATTATTATTACATACATTGTACATAGATGAAAACATTATTGAATTGACAACATAGAATCTCCCTCTTTTCATAGTCGATTCGAAAACAGAAATACTGGCCCGCTTTGAATAGTATTATACAGGTCGCGGGGAAAATAGCAATTAACGCCGTCGTTTGTTTAAAAAGGACTTTAAAATCACTTGGAAAGCACTCGACTTCGCCTTGTCATTTTAAATTACCTACTCGACCGTCAATTGCATTATTTCCGGCCTCGGCCCTAATGTATTATAAACCTACCTACCTATTAATAAATATTGTGAACACTAATGATGTGACTGAGAATATGACTCACCATGCAAATGTAGATAAATTAGTATAGACAAATGTAGATAAATTTGCCATCTACTAAAAGAAATAATATCACGTCAAGTTTTATTAACAGTTTTTAAGAATATTTGAATAGTCGTTACATAATTACGTTTAAACTACTGTTGCGACTACTAACTTACAACTACTGCGGAAATAAATAGATAGAAATGATAAATACTCTTTATTAAAATAATAGATAGATAGATAATCTTTATTGAAATTATAGATAGATAGATACTCTTTATTGAATGCCGCGTGCTGTTATCAATGTAAACTTAAAATGCAAAATCGAACACCAAACACTGCAATAAGAATGGTGAAAATTGATGCAGGATGCGCGACGCAATGACGTAACATAATCGTAAAAAAACAGAACGTATTAAGAATCCGTTACTTAAAAAATGGCACTAAAATACTAACTACTCTGTACATGATATAAATCATAATAATGAGTCCACAGACCGCTTTTATAACTGTATCATATTTTGTAATCAACGTGCCAAAATGATCTTACAAATTTAGTACAAAATTTGATGTAAATAATCAATTCCACTCATGTTCTGTCCTACGGTAATGAGTTTTTTTTTTTATTTATGTTCTGGAAATATTTATTTATATATTTTTTATTCACCACATAACAAAGAAATGTTTGGTACAGACGACACACGTAATATTAATACATTTAATATATTTTAGGTGTAATTTTTTAATGAAAATGTGAATTTAGATTTTTTTATTATCTATATACAGAATATTATATTATCTATAGTTATAGCTAATAAATATTTTTGTTATATTCAGGGTTACTCACCGGGAGACAACCTCCTCTTGCCACTGTTGGTGGCAGCTCTATCGTCGATCGCGTTGGTACTGCTTCTAGCATTAGCCGTGAAACGCCGCAAAAGGACACATGTCGCGTCCGCACAAATAGGGGTATGTTATAAATAATTACACACATAATTACCGGTACTATTACGATATGCACCACAGCGGCATGGGACCACAGTACCCAAAAAAGAGAAACAGGCAAACATTAGTCATATTATGTAGATAAAATACTTACCAATACTTTACAAAGACAGTTTGTCTATAGAAAAGTATGCATTGGTGCTGTTCTCTTGGCCTGTTTTCTTCGACATCTTACTCCTTATTCATTTCTTTCTTACTTAATAACATACCACACATAACAGCCGCATAATTCATACACCCATTGTTCCAGAAGTTGACTGCCGATCTTCAAGCCGACGACAACACTAACTTGTTAACAGCCGAGAATCCTGAAGATGGGGAAGAGTGAGCTACCGCGCTTATAGCTTGTTCAAGAGCCCAACGCAGAATGTCTGATGTGCACGCGTTATGTTGCTCTCTTGTGAAAGGAATACGGGGTACCTACTATTATATTCTATGCTGATCCAATGCTTGCACTTAACAAATACTCGCCACCAAACATATAAATAAAAAATTCGCCCAGATGTATTGAATTAGGTAATATCTTTGAAGGAATAACATGAACGCACATTAGGCATTCCATGCACCTTGTAATGATTTAGCATCCAATTGTAGTTTCTTGAATGCAACCACATTACAAGACCTGTGTGTTCGTCATGTAAAACAAGTACCCATCATATTTCAAACTTTCAGTGCCTATTGTTTGTATATAATGTACGATTTGGTAGCCCTCTAGCCGCGAGAGCGCCGGCCTATAGAAGGATTCCTGATGTTCAGAGATACGATATAATATGTAAGTGTATTTTGTAAACGCAATAGAAGATCGACTGTAAATTAGATATTATATTCGTTAAATGCCAAATTCGCCAAAATTATTTTTGTTACATAAAATTAGTCTACAACGTATTTACAATTGTCATATACCGTCGCAATGTGACATATAATTAGATAGTAGTGCCCTAATGAGCTTGCTAGTAACGAAGACATCGTGAATTGTTTTCAAATATAAAACTAGATCATTTATAAAACAGTACCTACATATGTTTTTGTAAGTAGGTGCCCGCGGACGTCATTCACGAACAGATACTAAATCCAATCAAAACATTGCACCATATGGCACATAATTGGTCTGGTCGATTAAGGTCTGTGCATACGGGGCCGTCTGGTGACGAAATAAGAATACAATGTGCGACCACTACTTTTTATTCCTGGGATATTCCCAGGATAAAGCATAATACCTGGGTATCGTACTCTATCCCGCAAGATGAGTACTAAGTCGCCTTGCCTGCATAGTAATTGCAGTTTTTTTTTAATGGGTGAGAACGAAATTGTAACCCCGCGTGTGCTATCTGTATACGCTGGCGAGGCACCACTGAAAGATGATAGGTAAGGATGAAAGCTGATCAGTTAGCCCATCGTGACGAATGTCACAAGAATCAACCACAATGGTTTCCAGGAGGAACTGCGTAGAGGTGATAGGGTATATTGCTAGTAATGGGACTATTAGACCCCACTGCTAACAATGCCTTTCTCCAAGCATAGTAGTGGTAAATTATATCATCCTTTTAAAAAGAGATATACGTACCCACTTGTGTGTAACAGTAAAAGGTCGTTACGATGATGAGACGAGGGACAGTGTTCGGATTATTCTATGCTCGTCAAATATACAGAATAGATTATAAATATAATAGATGACTGCATTATATAACAAGAACGAGTTAAAGTTATCGTGCGAATCATAGTAAATTTTATCCTCCGTCCCTCGTCTAGGAAAGTTTTCAATGTTACGTGGTGGTAGGTACGTCGGTTATAAATGTTCATGAAATGTAGATACCTATATCATATCTCTGAAAATTCGATATTATGACTCGTCAGTATTAACAAACCCTGTGGTATAAATCATCATAATAGACTTATTTATTTTTGTTGGTGTAGTCTGAATAGGATAAGATGAAATATCAATCTCTGTGTAATGTACTATATGTTTGGACGTAATTGAAATTTATTATAACTTGAGCTATTCTCTTTAATTACATATTTAAATCATTTAAATATAGATATAAGACTGAAGTAGGATTGGGTTGTTATGGATCCACACAGATGGATATGTAACAATTTGCATTTATTAGCTTTACACTCAACGCAAAGCAACGAGTGTCATAAATTAATGTTTAGTGATTGTAATAGAAATCTGTTAGAAAACTAAAGCTACCAGATCAATATAAATTTGAATTTTTGGGAATCTAACACTGTCAAATAAAACGTATAAACTTTTTAATTAATATTCAATGTCCTGATTTGAAATACGATTTAATTTATTATATAAAAAAATCATATTAATGATATATATATATACAAAATATATAATGAACCTAAGTTGCAATGGAATATCCAACAGTTTTTTTTTTTTGAGAGGCCAATCTTGAATTACTTGGCGAGATATCGTGTCAAATTTTGTGATGTTTCAATTATCTATTACTTCTGTATTTTATACTTATGTACTCAAAACATTTCAAAATAAATCACGATTTTAATACGATGGTAAGACAAATATACAGCTGCTAATTAAGGCTCCCGGATGGTCGCGAAACTAGTCGAACTTTCACGACTATAATACACGTAAGATAATCTGGTAATTATTATTTTAAATTCATATGCAAGAATTGTTATTTTTATTACTGATCTCTATTAAATCACTAATTACTATTTTGTGACACTGGTTATTCTGCAATGAAATATATTCTTTCGTAACGGCACTATTCATTTGAAATTATATTGATACCGCCAGTCTCTGTGTGCTATTATACCTAGATATCCATATTAATTACTATGTATTTCAATGTTAGCTATATGAATGTACAACAAATGAACAGTGGGGAATTATAACGACGGTAAAATATTAAATTGTGATACTTCCGTAGTATTATCCAAGTTATAATTCCCCTTTATTTAATGGAATTGTATGACAATGTCATGGGAGAATATTTAATCAGGATAAACTTGTGTGATATAGGGAAGCTTCAGCAAAGTTCTGAGAAGGTGGCGCCACTGGAAAAATCGCACAGACTGATTCAGGAAACTTTCAAAACATTAGAAAGAAAAATATTTTGCCTTTCACTACAGACTAAAACAGAGATGAAATTCGATTATGTTACAATATAAAGGCGCCACCATCGGGACAAATTGGCAGTAAGCTTCCCTATTGAAAATGTAATTGGATTATACAGATGGATGTACATTTTATTTCATGCGAAGTCGAAGCACAGTGTGTAACAGTAGAGATAAGTTTTAGTTAGCTTTTACGATAAACGTTAGTCGCTCTGTGGATGCCTTGAGCGGTGTGATTATTTCATATTTGCTGTTAACAACACCATGTAAATACGTAATAAATTATGTTTTCCCACCCAATATACTTATTATTTCACATTTAAAGTGTCTAAACTGAGTAAATTAATGAAAGTTATTGATCCCCTAAAAAAAATTCAATAATATAAAGAGTATAGATATACAATGATGATCAAAGATTACAACTACGTTCGTGGTTACAAATAGATAATTTGTATTGAAAATGTCAGGCATAGTTACCTCTAGTAGACGATTTGAAACTCAAAATTTCACATAATAAGTTAATTTTTCAATAATTAAGTTTCACCATTTCAATTCCAATAAAAAATCATAATAATTTTAGATTATTTTCACAAAACGACATCAACCTGGATAAAATGAAAAGGGGACTAACATAGAAGTAAATTATAGTAAAGATTTCCAATTAAAAAAGAAGTAACCATGCACATCATAAAATCATATCGAATTGTGAATTAAATTTTTAATCAGTTTAAAAAAAAATCATTTTTTTAAACATAAAAGCGTGTGCACCGATTATTACGCGTGACTATAAAACTGACTCCGATATGTATCTACTTAAAAGGCGAATGACCAATATGACCTGTTTATAATGCAAAAGAAACGATTAATTTAATAATACAATGGTTGTACAACATAGAAATTAAAGTTCTTTGTTAAATCGTCAAATAATTAATATAAGGAAGTAAGCCTTATCGATCGTAAAAAGAATCATTAAAATCTGTTTTTACGTATACACAAAAAAATCCGCCTAATTTGAGTAGCTCCTATTTGAAGTTTCTTAATTAATGATATATGTAGTATAACATACTAGGAATTAGCAATAACTACCTACTATAACCAAGTAATAAAATTAATAGATATGAAATAAAACAAGGTATTATATCAATTGACTTAGGTATATTTCAGTGTTCATCAGACCTATGTAACAATTATATACAATTAAACATTGAACAGAACATAATATGTCAATAATTATTTTTTCCTTTGATTTATTGCATCTAACATAAATTTAAAAATAATAATTGTTTCACGTTACAATGTCTGTGTCATACACATGAATATCTAGATACAAAAATTCAGTATTATAATTAATGCCCCTTCCAGCCCCTCTCAGAATTTTATGTCAATAAACAATTCTAAAAGAGCGCACCTGTAGACTAGTGACGTTTGTCGCTAATACAATCTGTTAAATTTAAAAAACAATTGTGGTTCTGTAGTATATTAAATCGTAATAAGTCAAAATTCTCGTGATTATAACACCAAAACAATATTTGATGGTAAAAATATAATTGAAAATTTAAAAAGTATTTAATTAGCTTTTAAATAATCTCAAATCTCTCAATTTTCTTTTAAGAATAATAGGAGCTTATTATTCAGTATTTCAAAATTTGGTCCCACAATCGACTTCAATCTTGACAAATGTGATAAGGGTTTAAAAAATCGCACGATATAAAAAAATCCTGAAAATAAAGTCAAATAAAATGTCGAATCTGTTACAAAAAATAATATATTCTTTTAAGAATATTTTCCTTTTTTGAGACAATTGAAATTAATGCTAAAAAAAAGTAGTAGTTCTCATTTTAACAGTATTTTTGTGCAACTTTTTTAATTGAATTTATTTTGTTGAAATCTTGAGGAACCATTTATACTACTTTTATTAAAAAGGAAATAAAGACAATGTGTAATTATGTATAGTATAATAACAAATTTGTAAACTGATCACCATTTCAACGCCTCAAAGAGTCATTTTAACAAACATTTTAAATTATTTGCATGAATTGAATAAAACATCACGTCCATGTTGCCAGTACTAAAAAATGCACTCTCATAAATAAAAAAAAAAGATTCTTCAATTTCAATAAAAATACTCTTTTTTTTTTAAATCAAATTCTTATTTTGTTGTCAATGTACATCGAATTTCAGTACAACGCCTATTGCATAATACATTTTCTACTCACACGTTATGATTATCGATTTCGTAATAACCACCCAACTTATTTATTTATATTATGTTTTAGTGAATTAGGGCTATCTCTCAATGAGACATGTCCAAATACAAATGACTGTTAAAAAATGCTTTATATACAATAATGCTGCTAATACTAATTGAGTACCGCATATATGTACATAAACATTATTGCAAAATATACACAAGAGTTATAAAACTTACACTAATATTTTTTCTAGTCTATGCTAGTTTTAGAAATTAGTATTTTTATACCCCGACTTTTATAAATACAAACTCAGATAGCACTAACATGCCGAAGTTCTTGCAATTTTTATAAAAATTTACTGTGTAATGTGTATATTAGTACACGGAGATATGTGAAGGGGTTTAAGACGAAAATTATTCGAGGTACATATTATGTATATTATAGTTATGAATATTTTATATATTCTATAAAAAAAATCCACTACATTCATGCCTCGTCTTAGGATAAATACTTTTTTATTTTAATTAATGATAGTTTTAAATAAAGTGCGACTGTTGGTGGATTTATTTTTTCCTAAATTTATGAGTTTAAAACCTTATGAAATTTTCAACAAAATAATAATAACGTTAACTGTACAATTGCATCAGCATATAAATTTTCCATTACTGTGATGTGTAAAGGAAAAAAAAAATACTAGTACATACTTTGTTACCATGACATTATTCAGTGACAGTTCAAATTTTTAAAACAATACAAACTATAAATATATATAATGCAACAAAATACAGAAGCAACACATTACTACACATGACTATACTGTAATTATGTAATTACCTACAACGTATACTATATAAATAAGCTGAATTGATAAGTTATTTTTTTCTTTATGCATCACTACTTCTGCATTGCAGAATACTTTGTACAAATACAGTTCATCTGCCCCGGAGACAGATATAACAAAATGCCAACAAAATTAATATCTTCTTTTATTGAACAAGTGTTCACATTTAAATACATCACCGATACCGTCGCAAAATAATGAGTATCGAATCCTATATCTCATGCTGTCATAAGAACTTATTACACTATAAAATATATGGGACCTTACAATTTATGACTCAAGTAGGAGAATTATTACGTATATTTATGAGTCATAAATACAGGGTGGAGATGATAAGTGATTCCTAAAATACTTATACACATCAAAACATTTTACTATCATTGAAGTATTGGGTCAGTAAAATTATTATAGATACTATATATGTGATAGTGTAATAAACTTTACAGACAACGAAATACCAACAAATACATACATTTTCATTTAAATACAGAGGCGACTTTGCAAAATATTAACTTTGCAAAACAGTCGAGTATCAAAATGCCTTTGCAGACATAGTTAAAAAAAAAACCTTTATAAATAAAGTGTTATCTTCAGTGTGGCGGATGAGCGGGCCGCAGTATTCTAGCGAGCACGTGGCGACCGCCAACAAGCTTCAACTGCTGGCCATCCATTAATACACTGCGGACGGTGGATGTGGGTACAGTCGAACTCGCCCCCTGAGTACATTCAATAATAAATACATTATCAAACCAAACCAACATTATAAAAAAAATTATGAGTCTTATATAAAGTATAAAATATTACTTATATGGCATAATTAAAGGAAAAGTAAAAACAAAGTTTGTTTAGAGAAATTATTAGAAAAAAATATAAGATTTATCGCATATTAAGATAAAGCTCTGAACGCTCACAAATTCACATAATCATTTCACACAAGAACATATCATTTCTTTTAATGTTTGGCGTATTTCTTTTTCGATTTTAGCTCAGTTAATAATATTTGTAGTCATTAAGTATGTCAATATGTCGTAGAATACTTATGTATGAAACCGATTATAAACTTTCGAATAGTTATGATCGTAAACTTATATACATCCCATAAATTTTGCATTCTCCCATCATCGAAATCAATAATAAAATTTTAAAAGATACCTATATAAATTATATTGTTTTTAAATTTTATTAGCATCTAATAAAACCCACCATAATGTAATGTCAACCTATCAAATCTTCACACCAGATCCTTGGCGACGTAGGCAGAGTCCCAAAGGTCTATCCCTTCATCTACTTTCATAATACGTCTCATGCCTTCATGCCGATTTCAAAGACTTGACGCCTTCGGATCGCACCCTGTCCAGTTAATAATCCCCCCTCCCCCGCTCCATGCCTATAGCATGCCATTCCTCATTTTTATTCTAATACATTATTTCAATTATATTTCGTACTACTATAAATCTTACGAGTGTCTCAGATTTCAGTTACAGTTTAAAAATCGAGGATAGCTCAAGAAATACTAAATATGATCTTAGATTGTTCTTATTTCTACGATTACTTTCAGTCATCACAATATAGAATCATATAATTATTTATACATATCTTAAACACAAAGCAAAAATACTTCCAAATTAATGGTAAAAAACAGATAATACATACATACATACATACATATACATATATATATATATATATATATATATATATATATATATATATATATCTATATATATATATATATATATATATATATATATATAGATAGATAGATAGAGTTAGTATGTAGGTAGATATATCATTCATTGTTAATAGTACCACTCGTTAAACTTACGTAAGGTTATATCAAAGTATCATATATTTATTAATCGACGCACATTTTATTGTGATTACGCAATAAAATATTGAATGAAAGTCATTTTTCTATACTAAAGTAATTAAATATAGAGGGAGCGTCAATCAATAAATAATATCGTATAATGCATTTTATTATATTGTTTATGGTTCTAATAAAAATATTGGTCCTTTTCCAGAAAAATCTCATTCTCATGCAATCAGTGTAGTAAAGATTAGGTCTAGTATAATCAATTTCACACGTTAAATGCAACAATTTATTCTCAAAGCATGCGCACTCAAATTCACCTGTATTTTAATTCCCTGCGCGAGTTTAACCTGTTGTATGGGATTCACCTAAAACGTAACGAGAATGATAGTTTGAAATGATATTTCAACCCAATAATACAAATGAATATAAAATTTTATACAATAATTTCCCTTAGGTTCACAAAAAAAATATTTATTTTGACCAAATTAGTATGAAACACGGAGATGAAAATATTCAATTAAACATAGAATAATCAAAATCAATTCAGAATTGTGAATATCCATGTATTCGTTATATTATCCCATAATAAAATACAAATCCGTTAAATTCTTAGCCTGTCAAAAATACTTTCAACTCCAAAAATATAACTGCTTTAGATTTAGTTTTTTTTTTTTTTGTAATCAGTAAAAAGCAGCTTTTTTGCAGTTAAAAATATTTAAGACCGTGTAGGATGCTTGACCGCAACATACGTATATAATACATCTTTTAAAATAATGGACATTACCTGTTGTAATTTTAGAACTGGTGTAGTTGTGGTGGAAGTTGTGACAGCTTGTGCTCCTGCTAACAATATTTAATTACGTTATGACATTTTCTTTAAAACTTAAACTATATTAGAAATAATAAAACGAGGATGCTCAATATTGACTGTCCAATGTTACAATGGATAACGGTATGCACTCTTTTGTAAAAAATTATTTTAAAAATTTCGAATATTATTTTAAAAATTTTTAATTATAGTAATATATTTTAGCCACGACAAATTTATATCGCTAAGTCAGTGAAAACCTGTTATTGGCTTTTTATATGGATAAGTTGTTATTGTTTTAAGCTATAAATTGTAAGCTGTTGGTTTTCCAATAAATAAATACATTCGTCAGAGCTGTATAGTTAGCTTATTATTTATTTTAAAATATATCAATTTATACAATTTTTATGATAGTAGTAAAAGTTAAACTTCATAAACATCAAAATGAAACTCGAAGAGTTGAAATATACAAATTGTTAACAATTAATTAATTTAAAAATAAATTCTACTTACCGATATTACTTAATACTATAGTTTGTGAAGTAGTGGCACCACCACTAGATGTCACCCGTATAGCGCTGCCATCGCTTTGCTGTAAGTGAACAAAATGTAATGTTAAATTTTATTTTATATTTAGTATTTATTATCTGAAGGGGCTTCGCCTCTTATAATGCCAATGCAATAAGCGCAATGTCTCATTATAAAAGTCGACAGACATTCAACACTATTAGCCATGCAAGATATTTGACAAAAGCATAGCATTAAATTTAAACGAACACTTGAGTCTTTTTCGCGGCCCATCTTTCTACTAACATCTGTTTATATACTAAGTACGAAAAAATGAATGACGAAAATAAATAAACGGTAACATAAAGAATTGAATTCTAAAGCTAAAAGAAGATTGCTAATTGAGCAAATAGAGAAACGGACTAAGGAGCTACGAGCTACTTTTAGATACAAAATAGCAAAATAATTATACATTGTTGTGCATGAGCCAAACTCGTCGTGTCAAAATTTGAAAGCTAATTTAATATCCATTTTAGACACATTTGTTAGAAAAAAAAATATTTAGTTTTCAACCAACTTCAAAAAGGAGGTTCTCTATTACTTTTTTTTTTTATATTTATAGCTCCGTCAATTGTAAACCAATTTAGATAATTCTTTTATATCTGAAAGGTTAAATATACTTACAGATTGGTTTCATAGAAATTTTATCAATCAATCGGTTCAGTAATTTAGTATTGAAATGAAAATAACTTTTTGCCACAATTAAAGTCGGTTTTTTTTCTGTGAAACAAAATCTTCATATATATCATTGGTAGAATATTTCCTTAAAAGGATGCTAATTCATTTCTTTATTTATATACTTAATGATAGTAGAAAACAAATATGCAAAAGCCAGACATATTTCTTTCTCTTAATACAAATGAGATAATTAAACAGATATATTTAGGTGTGACCTGCAATATAATGTTGTGCAATGGCTTATGAGCGAGCAGCAGCGGCCGCGCCGGCGACAGCACCCGCACGGCGCCGCGAGCTCGCCCGCCCGCAGCCAACTGCTGCAGCTGTTGCAGCTGCTGCAGCTGCTGTAAGCGCGGCCCCACCACGCCCTCCAGCGAGATCATCTGACCCTGCACCGCACGGCCAATATAATATATATATTTTGCTCTCTATGAATTTTTTTTTTCATTTTCTGTTTCTTTGTAAAATAACCTAACTATTGAAATCAATATTCGAAAATTGTTCACTAATGATATTTATATAGAAAAAAGTTTAAGACTTTTGTTAAATTCAATTCGTGAGAATTTTAAATAATTTTTTTTAGCTTACCTGAGCATTAGTTAACAATTTGGCAACGATAGGTTGCGCTGGCTTCTCAGTTGATGTTTGACTTCTAACAACTTGGGCTATTGGTTTCGTAGTCTGTTGATTAGCTAGTTGCACTGTTTGACCACTAGCTAATTGTAAAGTTTGTCCACTGGACAATTGAACAGTTTGGCCACTCGATAACTGCAGAGTCTGCCCACTTGGCAACTGAACTGTTTGCCCGCCAGCCAATTGCACAGTCTGACTAGACAATTGCACAGTTTGAGACCCTAATTGCACACTTTGTGCATTCGACGTTTGAACACTTTGACCACTTGATAATTGCACATTTGAACCTAACTGAACAGTCTGTACATTACCACTTGCTAATTGCACTGTTTGGCCACTGGGTAATTGAACACTTTGTGATGGTAATACACCTTGGCTAGCCACTTGAACAGTTTGTCCACTAGGTAATTTCACTGTGTGACCAGTTAACTGAACACTTTGACCGGCTAGTTGAACAGTTTGCCCTGCAATCTGTACAGTTTGGCCGGCCAACTGAACTGTAGAAACAGGTATTTGGACAGTAGACTGGCTGGTTTGAATATTCTTAACAGGTAAGGAGGTTTGTTGGACACGAGGGCTTTGGCTCTTACTCGTCGTGGATATAGCTCGTACTGTTTGTACTGTTGGAGGTGATGCTAATTGTACAGTTTGTCCACTCGGGAGACGAACACTATGTGTAGGCAGTTGTAAAGAAGATAATTGAAGAGTATGTCCAGCACTTAGTTGGACTGATTGACCACCTGGAAGGTGGACAGTTTGGTTGGAAGCCAGCTGTACTGTCCGCCCACCCGCTAATTGCACTGTCCGCGTTGTGACAGAAGAAGTCACCACAGTAGGCACACTGCTTACTACATTAGTTGTACTTGTTGTGCTCTGTAAAAATTATATATATAGGCTCTTAAACTTCATTAATAAAATAGTGTAATATTATTACAGAGATCTCACTGAGATAAAAGATAAATTGTTTGTGATATTTAAATACTAAAATAAATAATCAAATGGATTATATTACAAACCTGGGCTATTGTTGTAACAGAAGCGGTACTTGGTATCGTCGTACGTTTCTTGTTAGCTGTTGTAGTGCCTAATTGTAGGGTAAACAAAATTATTTATATTAACAAGAATGTAACTGTGAACACATTTGTTTATTTTATTTTTATAACATTGGGGGGCAAACGAGCATGCAGCTTACCTAATGATAAGTGATGTAATATATAAAAATAATAAATACAGGAATAACATTTTGTATTTTTCCGCACATTCTCATGTTTCTTTTCTTTATGTAAAATACTAGCTCAATCCCGTGGATTTGCCCATATGAATCAATGTTTAAAATATCCTATGTGTTATATTAGGAAATAACATCTGAAAAATAGTTAAGATGGTATACCTTGCTGCATGAGCGCCCGGGGTGATATGAGCGACTTCCCTGCCGATGTGGCCGGGCTCAGCACGCGTACCACACCGCGCCTACATGCTGCACTCTATAAAAGACATAAAAGTGTAAGAATTTATATCGATAACAAAAATATGGTCACAATTCACAATTTAGTATCTAAACGTATTATGTAAAAAATCCCAGATTTATCTGAAACTAAAAGTAGCAATTTAATATTTTGCATATTTAACAAAATGAACACACCCAATTCTTATACTTGAAAATAAAGTAATTAAATTTACGAAATTAATTTACCTTAAAATTCCGAGAAAACATTTGTAATATTTAACTTTTTATGTATGATATTACAAAATATCAGTAAAATGCAATTATTAGCAGAAATGCATTACTGATTGAAATTCTGACGATGACAAAATAAACCAACCTGTGTTGTAGAAGTAGTAATAGTGGCAGTAACAGTGGATTGCACACCCGGTGGTCTAATTAACAAAGAACGTGTGACTGGTGCAGTCTGAAAATAAATTTATTACTGTTTAGATAATAAACAACAGTAGATATACAGAAATACAAATAAAAGACAATCATTGCCATCAATATAATTGCTTAGAGTCCAAGCATTCCAATAATTCTAATAAATTTCAGAAGAATTTTATTAGAACAAAGTTTTGTCAATTTATGGCACTTGAAAATTTGTTACAAACTATATGTTTATAATATAATAGAAACAATTGAAATCACAATAACAAAAGTCTGTTGCTTTAGGCTTCGTTAAGTCTTGACGACCTAATACATATTTGATGTTGTAAGGAACTATAAAACACATTAGGAACAGATTTTTGCTTGTTGTAAATACGCATTCCTCAATCGCAATCTAACACGTGTTTAATCTGTTCTGAAATTAAAGTCTGTATTATTACTAAAGTATTGTTTACAATATATATATATATATATATATATATATATATATATATATATATATATATAAACAAAATAAAATTTATGTATAATACCTTATTTTGAGTTTGTAGTACAGACACAGGTATAGTAGGTTGTAACACAACTGGCGCTGTCGTTTGTTGACTAACGCTAGTCGCAGGTATCTGCAACAAACATTATGTCAATAAGAGATCAAACTTATATATTTATTATAAAAATGGAATACAAAATATGAACAAATCCAAAATCAAGTTTGGTTCCAAAACCACAATGGAACCTGAGGAACATAAATATGAAAACTGCAACCAATTTGGTGCAATATCTTTTACATGACAGCAGAACAAACATACAAAATATGACAGAAAAAATATCTAAAAATATTGTCTAGATTTCTATTGCTCTCATATGATTCCTTAAATATCTTTTTATTACAATTTTACTACATTAATAAGATACAATTAATAAAATTTTATAAAAAAAAAATTATACATACCGGTGATTGTGTCACCTCTGTCTTTTGCAATGGCCGTTGTTTAAGCAGTGGCGACTTTTGTGGCGTGGATATAACTGGCAGTATAGTCTTGGTCACAGTAGAAGCGGGTTGCGTATTTGTCTGAGTGGATTGCACTACTACAGCCTGCTTCACAGGCAATTGAACAATGCCCGGCTTCACAACTTGACCTCCAAACGTACTTTTTGGTGACTGTCCTGCTTGTTTCGCCACATTCACTTGCTTCGACTGGGCAACAGATGCTGATTTTACCACATTTTGTTTCAACGTTTGAGCGACATGACCCTTTGTCGCTTGAGCCATCAAACTAGCTTGCTTCACAGACTGAGCCATTAAACTAGTTTGCTTTGGCGTTGATGCGATCAATGCGGACTGTTTCGATTGTGCTGACAAAGCAGGTGTTAGCCTGACAGACTGAGAAGTACCTGCTTGCTTAGATTGAACTAAACTAGCTTGTTTCACTTGACTTAGGAGAGTCGCTTGCTTAACGGATTGCGACATCAAATTACTCTGTTTGGGAGTCTGTTTTGCTGTGAGAGTCAACTTCGCTTTGGGGGGTGTGGCGACTAGTTTTCCCTTCGCTTTGGGTGGCAGAGGCTGCTTCGCCTGAGAAGCCTGCGCCTGCATAAGAAGTTGCGCGGAAGACAGCTGGTGAGCTGGCGAAGCACCCGAGTCCTCCACATCTACGTCGCTGTCGGACGCATTTTCAGCTACATCTTCCGCCGGGTCTATGTCTATATCGGCCTGCAAATATAAAAACAAATTATTATTTTGTGCCATAAAAGAATTTGGGCAAAACTATGAAACCAACAAATGGGAATTGCTTTTAATTAAAATAAAAACCTTCAATCGACTCAGAATTGCCGAAAAATATGATGCAATACAAAAAAGTTGAATTAGACACCTCTCTCTCTGCTCTTTTTTATTTTTTTGTAAAAGCTAATGCTAATATGTAGTCATAACAGTTTCTCTTCTTGGAAAAGAGAGAAGTAGGTACCATGGGTATCTTAAGTGGCGACTAAAGGAACTTAATAGTCTAGAGATGGGCAGCAGCATCCCTCTTAAAACATCATCAAAACCTAACTGTGATTACCAACCCGCTTTTCAAACATGGCAACTACCGGCAAACTCTCCCTTATAGCAGAGGCTTGTGTTCAGTAGTGAACAATTTATATATAGGCTGATATAATGGTGATGATGACTGTTTTAAAAATTATGTTTTATTAGATACTGTATAGGCTGGAAATTGCACTCACTAGTTGCGGTATGGTCCGAGCGCGAGCGGAAGCGGAGGCGGCGGCGGCGGGCCGCTCGGACCGCGAGCCTCGAGCTGGCCGCGCTTCCTTGGGCGCGCCGCGCCGGCCGCGCCCGCTTCCCAACTTCAGCCAATCCTCTTCACTCCTACATTCAATGATATTTAATAACATAGGTTCCTAATTTAATACATTGAAAGAAGGCAATACACCCTTATTAAGTCGACCTCCACACTTCCCTAGGAAACCACCATGATTAATGATAAATCTCACATATCACATACACAACATATCCCCTTACTGACACCCCCTCAGCATAAACCATAATACATGCATGGGTAGCATTTCATTTTCATCCATAAAACCTGTAAGTATTTGCCTTATTTTTTAAATAAATTATAAAATAAAAATTCCAATTATTAAAAAAGAAAATCAATTATTTTTCTCACCTATGCCTGTATAAGTATGTCCAAATACCCGTTCTTTGGTCGTATTTAACAATTGGATCACGTTTGACGGATTGCAGTCTGTCCAATATAGGCGACACCGCGCTCAGTAGAGCCTGATCACTACATGGCGTAATCCACTGCGACATTCTAGAATTTACGAAAAAAAAAAATTTAAAAACAAAAATTAGTCACAATTGAAGTTAGAAAATGTATAGAAAATAAATTAGGACCTATACAGATGTATAACATAGTGCCCAGCGTTTCTAATGTATGGAAATTAATAGTCATTCTTTTCTGTTTGTAGTAGTGAATCTTCTAGATACCTAACATAGACGCGAATAAGCAGGGACAATTCCTTGCCAATGCTTGCAATTCATGGCCGTAATTTGGGACGAGGGGGGCATTAAGGGCTTAAAAGGTCGAATGATCCATCTTAAGGCCCCAAGAAAATTAAATAGATTCACTTTTTAGAAGTCAATTGTGGCTTCTGTCTTACCAGAGTTATTTTGCCCTACCTCAAACTCGGGTTTAGTTGCAACACGATCTTGTAGTCACTACATCAAGCTTTCAAAATTGACATAATCAGGGTGTTTATGTATATATGTTAAAGTATTCCAATAGATATTATTACTTATTTACCAGAGGGAGACTTTGTACAAAAGTCGATTGCTTGGGTACCTCTGTTCCATTCGTGTTTTAACCGTGAAACAGTTGTGTTTGCATGACTGTGTTTCAGTTTGAAGGGTGGGATATGGTGTGAATTTACTGGGTACAGAGGAATAACACCTGAGTCCTTAGGAATGGCAACGCATGGGAGGTATCATGGGCGAAACAGTATACTCTGTTATGTCCATGGTACTGCTCATGTCTATAGGCGACGGTTACCACTTTTATCAGGTGGGCCGTCAGCTTGTTTGCCATTCTAAGTTGTATAAAACAAATACCATTTAAATTCTTCAAAAAGTCAAAACTTATACTAAGAGAATCACATCTGCGAATTGAAACCCTTATTCATAGTAATAACCTTTTCTTAAACCCGTTACTACCCCTCCACTGACCTGAGCAGGGTGAGCAGGTGGTGTCGCGTGCCCTCGCCGTTGGGAAGCCGCGCGGCCGCGTCGCGCAGCAGCGCCGCCAGCGACACGCCCCGCGGCCGCTCGCCCGCCGCCACCACGCCACCGCCGCCACCGCCGCCGCCACCGCCGCCGCCGCCGCCGCCCTCCCAGCCCCACGAGCGGCACACGGGGCCCACCACGCTCTTATACCTGTGCGATCACAATATGTTCACATTTCATTATTATAATGTCTAAAGCAGTTCCTGAATATCAGTTTTATTCTTAGACTTACATTTGACTTTTTACAAAAAGGGGCTATTTACTGTATTAAATCCGTATTAATTAATCCATAATCTGCAGTGTTATCTAAGCGAATATGAAAAGAAATATCCAATGTGTTAATTTAAATATGTAATTCTTTCGACGTAAATGTTTCGTATTAAACAAATTTAATTAATTAACACCCATAAACTGTATTACTTAAGTACGTCACATTTATAACATTAGAAACGTTATAAACTTTATATAGCAAATGTAATGCATACCCGTGTTGTACATATGTAAATGGTTTTGCAGCCGATGCAAATCTTCGTCGTTCTTGTGCCCTAAATTCTGCAATCTCCGCATTCGTCGGGGGACGCACTACCCATGATGTAGGATATCTATAATGTACACAGAATATATTCAAATACATCAGTAAAAGAATAACATTCTTTATATCGCTACACTTGCCAAGGCACGGCAGATTTAACTATAACTATGTAATACATTAATTCTAAATTAAGAATGGTAATGTTTGGGGTATTAGTACCTAGGCGGCGGGGGATCAGCGGTAGCCGAAGCAGAAACGGGCGCGGTAGTGGTCGGCGGAGCTGAGACAGCAGGCGAGGCGGAGGATGGTGGCGGCGGAGCGGTTCGCAGCCATCGCTCGCATAACCGCCCCAATATCGCGTCACAATCACGCCCTGCACCTATCCACTGGTACATCTGTACAGAGATTCAGATATACAATACATATATAAAACATACTATTATTTTCATAGTTATTTTTCATAATGTTGGGTTAAAAGAACAGTGTTTCTTGTACCAGCCACTGTCATCTGAAACTTGTTTTCTCTCCGTAAATTATTCTAGTGATAAAATACATTAGATACATAAAATACTGTCCTTTCTACCTACTTAAAGTATTTTTATTTTTTCTATTTCAATATACATGGTGTATAATAAAAGATTGTGCCCACAAAAAAGCCAGCTTCTATTGTGGCAAATAAGAGCAGTTATTTTCAATTCAAAACTAAACTACTAAACCGATATTTATAAGATTTCTATAGCACCAATCTGTAAGTATATCCTTTTAAATAAAAATAGAATTTTCCAAATCGATTTAGAACTAATTGTGTTATAAGGTACCACAAAAAAATAAAATATAATCAAATTGAGAATCTTCTTTCTGAAATTGGCTAAATATAACCAAAAAATTCTTAGTGTATTTATATTTATATTAAAAAAAACTTAAAAAAATAAAGAACAAAATTTTAATAATTTTGCCTAAATCAACCTTAATACATTAATTAAGCTATTTAATTTAACTTAAGTTTTTAAGAGATACCCGATTTTTTTAAGAGCATAATAGAAAGAAAGATAGAGGGCAAAAGAGGAAGAGGAAGACCGAGGATTAACTACATGGGACAGATAAAGGAAACACTAGGCGTCATGTCGTATAGGGAGATAAAGGATATGGCTTGGGATAGAGCTGGCTGGAGGAAGATGCATGAATTAGTTGCACCGACAAGAAGAAACTCTTAAATTAAAATGAAAAGCTATTTAATATGTATTCAAATATTGGAATCATGATTTAGAAAAAAAATTCAGATAAACTCTCAACAGTACAATAAATATGCTTAATATAAGACTAACAAAAATTGCCTTCTAAAGAATAAATCTGTAAAAGGTATAAATTTTATATTGTAATATAAAATAATATAATAATAATATAATTAATTTATTCTATAGTAAAAATCTAGTTTAATATTTCAACTAACTTGTGTTTCTGGCATAAACTGCAAATATGGCACAAAATCATCAGGATGTGGCCCTCTTTCTCCAGCAAGGAAATCCAAAGCTGAATCTAATTCGGCACACCAATCATCGGACACTACAAAGAATAATAACAGATAATTAGTTCACAGTAGATAAAAAATAAATACAGCCTTATTTCATAAATACAGATGCTACAAGCACCTTTTAGTCTATAATAATATAATTATAATATAAATCTCTGTAAATTTATATGTATTTGAATAATTAAATCCATATAGGGATGAAAAAACCCTATTTTAACCCACATACATAAACATTGCTAATATAAATTTACCTTAATTACACATTAGATTAATTCTATGGTACTATATTTTCCCTTATTACATAAATAATTACATGTTATTACTTACAACTATACCATGTATTTAAGGGTGCAATAGGCGACCGCATAACAGCCGCGCATCTTGCATGTAACTGCTGTTTAGATGCGCGGTGTGCCGCCCTAGCGGGAAATAACGCGCGCACTAAAGAGAGGAAGTTGGCATGTGTTATCTCCGTTAATGACTCATCAGTATCCATAAGAGGCTCCTCTGTTTCCCCGCCAGTAGAATCTACAGGTATGACTTCACCAGAATCATCTGCTATTTCCACTGGTAGGGCCATCATATCTGTAAAGTACAAGATACTCATTAAACAAATTCAAAATTTTATTAAAAAATATTGTTTTATGTAGTTTTTTTCTAATGGATGAAAATGGAATGGTAATCCCGCCTGTACCATCAATATACACTGTCGGGACACCAGAGAGAGATGATAAGTGAAGATGGAGCAGGTCAGCTGACCCAATATGATAAATTAATCATCAAAATTAATTATGAAGGCTTCCAGGAAGAACAGCATGGAGGTCAACCTGTTTCATGTTACTATGGTATAGCTAATCCTTGGAAACTTATTTATTATTTGGTCTATAGGTTACCATTTGTAAAAAAACATAACATGAATTTTAATAATATTGAAAATATTAAAGAATACATACCAATACCATCCAGATCCTCAAGTTTTATTGGAACTGCCTGATTTATTTTTGAACTATGAACTGGCAATATAGAATCTTGTGATTCTTGTTTTACCTTATTCTCTAAGTTACTTTCATTGTAGTTAATACTGAAAATTTGAAAATTATGTATACCAAACATTTAAAAAACAAGTGTGACATTATTGATGAAAATAAACACAGTACTAACTTTGTAATATTAGAATATTTGAGATCTATTTCTTGCTTAATATCTATATTTTCTACAGACTTGTTTGATTGTTTAGGACTTGTCACTGGATCCACAAATGAGGAACTTTCAGAATCAGATTCTTCCTGTTCACATTTAATTTTAATATTTGGTAACAGAGGTCTATTTTCCACATTATCTTGCTGTTCTTCCTTGTTTCTCTTTACTGATTTAAAGTCTTGCTTGACTTTATCCTTTTTAGATGCTCTTCTTAATTTCTGTATTGGTGTCTCTGTTTTTTGACCACCAAACATTATTTTCTTAGCACCATTAACTAAAGCTACTCTTTGCTTTATATCTTCTAATGTTATTCCAGCAGTATTGAGTTCAGGATGATTCTATCACAAAAATATATTGAGTAAGCATCACAAAATGTATTATTTGTATATTACATTTATGTATGCCCCTTATTTGAATCTTAAGATGTAATTAAAATTATAGAATTTTGATTAGCATAAACTACACATTGATATTCTTTTTTTATTGTAATGTAAGTGCCAGATAATTAATAAACTTAAAAATGCTACCATTATACTTGATAGAACTATTCCCAATTCTATTTGAATAGAGTGTTAACAGTGTTAACACTTTATTCAAATAAGATGTAGAAGTTATATAAGAACAGATTTTTTATTTTATTTATTAAGTTCATTGAGTATTCTTGTCGTATGGTCCTGACATAGAATAGATCACCACTTCCTTTTCCGTGGGTGACATAAGACAACTAAGGGAACTTAATAGTCAAGGGATGGACCAGCAGCGTCCCTTTTAAGACATCAAAGCCTAACTGTATTTGCCTACCAATACACCAAGTATAGCAACTACTGGCAAAACCCTCTTATAGAAGAGGCCAACATTCAGCAGTGGTAGTAGAACCACTGATATAATAAAAAAAATGTAATATTCAAATTGAAACCACAAATAAATTTTACCTCTCTATGTGTTCTACGCATATGATGAGCAGCAAGAATATTCTTTAAACAGTCTAATGATGTTGGTTGTGCTGAGTCTGATGCACCAAGAGTTCCAGACACATTACTGTCGCTAGTCTGGAATGTCAATCAATATTATGGTATTATGTTTTTAATAAGTATAACATACAAACATAACCTTTATATTAAAATCTTATTTACCTGTCCACTAATTTGCTTTCTCTTTTTAGTAGTTTGCTCAGGGGGTCCATCTGGATAGTTCTCATCATCTGATTCTTCACCACCCACCTCACTACGAATTGCTGCTAACTCTTCAAAATACCTTTGTCTAGCTCTTAAATACAAAGGTTTGTAATTACTTTTGGATGAAGGCTTTGAAGGTAAAAGAGGCAGACGAGGTACAGGACCTGGTGGTGCAGCCTTAGCTGCTGCTAATAAACGCTCACGTGATAACAACACTTCTGGCAACAACTTGGCATAATAAGATTTGATCTGAAATAGAGCCATTATTCATCATTAATTTGCTATTCATCAACAATTTAATAAATGATAACTAAACATTTTTACTTCTTCTTAATATCTATACAAAATTTAAAATAATTACCTTATGTTTTTGTTGTTTAGTTCTTGCTTTCTTTAAAAACTTTCTCATTTTTGCAATATCAGGCCTATAGTTTCCCTGCTTTAAATTGTTATAAAAGTCAGTAAAAGGTGATGTAAAATGAAATGGTTCATGATTAAAAAGCATTTTTATGGTTTTCTCCTTTTCTTCTTCATCGTTTTCAGAAAATTTTGGCAAATACTGCATTAAATGTTGTTTATGCTCATCTTCCAAAGCCTCCCATGTCTTCATTGAAAAGAATTCTTTGAAAACTGTGTAGTCCTCGCATAGCTCCTGTGGTAATTCTAGAGTCTGACCCAGGATACGAACTGATTCCAACAACTCTTCATCTCCATCTGAACTCCCGCTAGAAGTATCAGAAGAGCTACTACTGGCCCCACTTATACTTTGTTCACTCTCCATCTTCTCTTCCATCGGTGACAAAATAAAAAAAACTTTACAAGTCCCGTGATGCAACCAACAATTTTCACTGCTTCGCGATGTAATTTTTCATTTTCTAGCTTGGATTTTCGTTTTGTGTAGTACGTGTTGTTTACCAAAAACCGAAGCAATGGTATACGAAAGTTGAAATTAGAGTCATGAAGTTTTTGTGACCAGCCGTCAAGTGTTGTCTAAAATAAAATAGAACGCACACGACAAAGCACACTGTTTCATACATACTATGCGCCAGAACGGCACATTACGATGAGAAAATAGCTTGACAATCACGAACAGCGACATTTTGACCGTACTCGAATAAGAATTTAAAATAAAAAATATTTGTTTATGAATATATTCTTGTCTATGGTTATCAAAGATCGTTATTTTGACGTAAGATAGTAGGTCGGCAGGTAGATTTTTTTTTGTTAAAGATTTCGGAATACAAGTAGATATTACAAGGCAGGTATTCAGTATTATATTGAAGATAAATAAAATAAATATATAAGAAATGAAATCCTATTTTTACCTATATTAGGATTTCATTTCGAAAAGAACAAATCTAAACAATAGTATTACTTATATGTATATATACATTATTTTTAGATTTGTTTTATCAAGATTTTTGTTCAATTTAAGTTTACATAATTTTGATATTTTTTCTTGTAGTTAATCATTTCTTACTAATTAGGTAGATAGGTATTTTGTTACATTGGCCGTTGTTTATAATCAGATGCCGCCACTTGCGCTTCTTAAGTTTGACATGTTTTTAAATATATAGCTGCATATCAACATTGCCGTTTATAGGACAAACTGAAATGTAAGATTAATTATATTATAGTATATAGATCGAGTGTTTCCATACAAATACTTCATTTGTATAGAAAAACAGAGCTACTACTATGCAATATTTTCCGAAATTTCGAGGCCGAAGAAAACACAAATTTAATTTTAAAATGTCATAATTTATATCGTTTAAAAATATTAAACATTGAAAAATCTCATTCATTTGGACTATTATGGTAAGATTTATAATGAACGAAGTGTTAAGTCAAAACAAAAGGAGGTTCATAATTCGTCAGAAGAGATTTGACTGAAAAGAAGTTTTTTTTAAATTGTTACAGAAAGATTTTAAATTAAATTACTAATAACACAGATTAGGAATAGTTACCTGCAAAATAACAACTTAGTAACAAAGTTCAACAGTAATTAATCATGCGTAATTTCTTGCTTATAACTACCAGAATTGCATTATCCTAATCACTACTTCTCCCAATTCTTGATTGTACACTTGTTACCTTGATCTTACGCAAGATTAGCTTAATAAATTTGAGCGTCTTTAAAATGTTTTTATTAGGTTTATTTTCGGTCTTAGAAAATTTGATCATAATTCTCTGTTTCGTGCTAAGCTCATCTGGCTTCCCATGTATTTTCGCTGGTAAATTTACATTCTTTCTCTGCTCCACAACATCCTTTTTAATCCCTTTTTCTTCTGCTACCTAAAGAAGTGGTTTGACTTTCTCCATACGATTTTTTGTCTTAATCTGGGTCATCAAGAAGCCTCCACCTCAAGATACCAGTACATTTCAAAAATTTTTATGACAAATCGTTAAATGTTCGACTGTGTTAGTCTAGCATCCTCTATACAAAGTATATATTACCTACCATATTTAAAAAAAAATGTAAGGACTTCTATCTGAGCAAATTGGCATATTTGTAATTTGTGTTTGATTAGAATACTCACATATTTTTTTGTAACTATACATATATGTATATGTATTCATATTCAATTGTCCATAAAATAGTAATGTTGTGGAATCATTAAATTAAAGTATTAAGTTAAGAGATAAGTTTAGAGAAATGAGGTCTCAGAATCAACCTTAATATGAATAATAATATTGACTATGTACGGAGGCTATTAACTAGGTGTGGCACAATAGTGACACTTGTAATAACAAAACGCTCTTTCGAATGATTGGAAAACCAAAAACAACACTCGGCGCAGTAGATGATGGTGGTTTGTCTTCAAGAATTTGACTTTTTGACGTAAATTATTCGTGTGGTAAATATGGCTGACGAACTCAATGTTGACAGTCTAATTCACAGGCTTTTAGAAGGTAAAGATAATTTTAATACGTATTTTAATGTGCATTATATTTGTTATATTCTTAACTGTTGTAATGGATTTAAATGGGACCAAGCTCATTGTTCTCAGTTGCGTAATTATCACTCTGTATGTAGAGGTAGAGGAACGTCAAACTCATAAATAAATCGATTATCCTCAATTCTTAGCTGGTTCTACATTAGAGTATCTTTCGAAAATATTCGAATGTATACTTATAAATTAGAATAAAATTGAAAATAATAGTAGTTATAAGAAAGCTTTCTATCTATAATACGATGTCAGGTCTTACACACGCAACACTTATTTATTTATTTATTTTTAGAGGGAAGCTTACGGCTATAACTTAATAATTAAATATGTATATATATATATATATATATATATATATAACATCAGTAATATAATTAAAAGGTATATCATATTGTATGGGTTTATTGTTGTTTTATACTCATTAAACATTGGATTGATTTAAACATTTTTATTTCACTTTATTACGCTGCTTATTGACGGGTTACAACAGTATACAGACTGCAGCAGGAAACCGCAAGGAGAAAAGGGAAATTGAAAGACATCTTTTCAGGAGAATGTATGGTCACTTAAAAAATTCTTGTGGAAGTATTCAGCTAGATTGTATTTTATTCTTCCTTTAGTAATCAGTCATAAAAGATATTCAAATCCAATTTTTACAGTTTTTCCTTTGTTGTTTATTCTTGTCCACATTTCTGACATACAATATGAAATGTTTTGCAGGCTGAACCCTTATTGATGAAATTCAATATATTTATAATAATTAAGTATCCTACTTGTTTATTGCCTGCCTCTAAGTCCACAACCTTATTTGGAATGTAAATACAATAATAATTGGGGTTCTATAAGTGACATTATAATGTCTCTTACTGGTATCATAAAAACTGAACATCTCTGGTGATTTCATATCTGATATTTTGCAATTATAGAAAGTTTTTATTTTTTTATTAATTCTATAATAATATAAAAATTACAAAAAATCTGCACAAATTTATAACAGTTTGCTTTTGGCAATGTGCCTGATAGTCTATGTAAACAATTAATAGGCTAATTACTCTTGACTGTTGAATGTTTATCTGTTTATTGTATATTACAATATAAATTTATTTAAATAATAAATTGAAAAGAAACCTGTCCTATTCATTAATATTTTGATATTTATGCTTTTGAACCCATATGTGAATAAGTTGCTTGTAAAGTGTTAAAGTGTATGTGTTAAATATAGTACTGGTTAAATATGATTGTAACATGTCTTTAGTTGCTACCTTGGCATGCATTACAATTGTTTGTCATTATAAATGAAGTGTATTCACTGAATACTAAAAACTCTGCCTTAAATTATGAGTTATCATAATGGAATATAATTTATTCAATTAAAGAATTATTTTAAGATTTTGTTGCCTGTTATAAGTTTGTTATTTGAGAAATTACTTCTGTGAATCCACTTCTCATTTAGGCAAGTAATTATACTTTATTTATTTGTAATGATTGATGTTTATTAAAAGTGCATTACTTTTATTGAACGTTATTATATAGATTTGTATTTAATGTATATTGAATGTAGAAACTATATAACAGTCAAGTTGTTCTATATCTACATATATTTTTATTCCAATATGTTAGTTAAATGCATTGTTTATGGCTTGAGGCAACTTTATTATTCTTATTATGCTTGCTTATTATGATTAAATATAAATAAACTGCATTATAAGACAGTATTTCTCATTATAGTAAGTACAAAGAGGTAGGAATATAGTTGATGATACAGAAAATAATGTTTAAATAACTTTTCACTATTTAATGTTTAAATAATTTTTAAAAATAAATTGTTAAAATATTGTTTTAGTTCGAGGATGCAGGCCCGGCAAGACAGTGCAGATGTCAGAGTCAGAGGTCCGCGGCCTCTGCACCAAATCCAGGGAAATATTCCTGCAACAGCCCATATTATTGGAATTAGAGGCACCACTTAAAATTTGTGGTAATGGACTATTACTTATATATAACACAAATTATATATATCTTTATGACCACTACATTATATGCATGGTTTTCAGAACTAGTAAATTCAATGAAATAGACAATTTTTAAGGGGATATCAAATAAAGTATACACCAGATTTTTAATTAGACGTTCAGGAACACAACTGTGAATTCCAAATCCAATTTGATACAATAGTTTTTGTGTGATGCTGGAACAAACATACAAACAAAATTTCAAAGTAAACCACTTTCAACATCTATTAGCTATATTAAGACCCCTCATTAATTTTTCTCGAAATGTCTCCCATGTTATCCCAAGGACATTATCTAGTTAGAATTTTATTCTTATATTAATAAGATTAAGTAAAACACTTTCAGTATGTCTCTGTTTTTTTAATTTAAATGAAATGGCACATTCTACATCAAAAATGGTCCTAGTTTGATACATTCTATTTTGTTAATACATGTAAAAAGATGATCACTGATAGATAGATAGATACTCTTTATTGTTTCCTCCAAAAGATTACAATAGTAAACTTATTATGAATATAAATAATTACAAGAAATAATCACAATGAGAAAACAATGGGCGACCTTATCGCTAAGAGCGATCTCTTCCAGGCAACCTTTGGATGGAGAGGATAATTATAAACAATTTGGTAGGAGGCATGATGAAAAATTTTGTTAGTTCTAGATATGGGAGATGTAATACATATAATAATATAAAAATTATCCCTACTCATTATATATATATATATATATATATATATATATATATATATATATATATATATATATATATATATATATATATATATATATATATACATACACACACACACACACACAGATAGATATACTTACATACATATACACATATACATACATGCATATAAACGCCTACACAAATACATAAAAATATATAAATACTGTTCACGAAAAGTATAATAATAAGTAAGAAATAAGTATGCTAACCAGACATATAAACATATTAAGGAGATGACAACTTGCTCAAATAAAAGTCCTTAAGTTTTGTTTTAAAAGTAACCAGACATTTTATATTTCGTATGGAAACTGGTATAGCATTCCATAGCCGTACAGCTTGCACCATAAACGATTTGTCATAAAAATTTGAGAAATGTACCGGAGTCTTCAGCTGGAGGCCCTCAGAATTTATTTACATAATTTACTTACATAAACATTGAATATACAACTGCTATTTTATATACCACTAGAGGCCTGCCCTGGCTCACATAGTTAAAAATAAAATGCAGTCCATTATTGACCATTATTGGCTACTAGTGTAGCTTCCTATAGATGAAAGAATGTTTAAAATCTGTTAATTATTTTTTGAATTTATCCTTACAAAAATCATGCTTTTATTTTTATAATGTTACTTTATAAAGATTTTAAAACTTAAGAGCAAATGCATATTAACTAAAATTGATTAAATTAATATATTCACATCATTCCAAGTCTATTTTTATATATATCTCTTGCTTTTGCATTTTCATAACCCATGTCATGAATGTCCATTCTTAAGATCTGACTACTATTTATGATCAATACAGAACAGAATACATTGTATGAATGTCCTTATTATTAAAATAATAATTAGTTGTTGTCTGTTGTCATTGACGGAGAAAGTTCCTTAAGACATTGCAATACGAAGTTTTATACATGTCCTTTTTATTACTATTAAAATTATAAGAAGTGGTGGATCAGAATGGTGGTGGTACATCGGTAATATAATTTAGTTTCTCTATAATTACTGTTCATGAGTTTTTGATATTTTGTACATGTGTGTTTACATACTAATTGCAATAAGATTTTACTAGAATTCATAATAACAATCTTAGATAAAACGGCGGAAAGCCGCCATCAAGAATAACCCGTAACGTCACAAATGACTCCAATGAAAATTTTGACGTAATATGTCGAGATTTGAGCTAAATGTTACAAATACATTGCAAGTTCAGCCATGAATGCAGTGTAGATAATATAAAAAGTAATATTACAATTTTGTCATAATTCCCAAAATCTGACTGGGTGCTTTGACCCAATTGTACAAATACACAAGTAGGGAAGAACAAGATATTTTTTTAACTACTGGCCAGTTGCGCAAAGTACTAGCAGAGCGTCATTCGGCCGTCAATGTTGGTGTGAAGATAATGTACAATAAAAATAATATCAAAGACATGTTTGTCAAAAACATGCAGCTTCTTATGTACCTTTTATTGTGCCTGCGACGAATGCGCGTCCACTTCCACCACCGCTATAAGTGGGGAAATAAACTGCCAATTTGTACCCTTAATTAATCCGGTAGTACCACCGCCAATACCACCGCGAACCACCTCCGTGTGCAGTACCACGTGTTAGTCCCGTCAGCACAACCTCTTCAACTTTCAGTAGACACGAGCAAACCTCCACCACCTTTGCCCGCTTCCATCAAGGCGCCTAATAGTGTAAAAAGAACTGCGTCGGAACCATTAGCTGGACCATCTAAAGTGAGAAAAATTACGCCCAACTGTACTGGCTGTGCCCAGTGGAAAGTGAAAAGCACCATATTAAACGAAGATATCCAGACATTGGCTGCTACTGAAAAATCAAAAAACAATATTGTAAAACAATTCAAGAAGCATTTGGATGAACTAACAAATGTATTGGAAACATTCAACTCGTTAAACCTGCTGGAAATGGACCTAGAGATTGAGAAAGAATTACCGAATTCTTTCGCAAGTTTTCCTAATGACGACATATTGGTAAATATTTTGAAAGCGTTGTCTCAGCCGAGTTTGCTCTCGACGAATGATAAGAGAAACTTGAAAAATATTTTTAAAACGTGGCAGTCGAAGGAAAATGGGTTTAGTTTTCCGCCGGCTAAAAGTGGGCTTGCGGACCCCAGTAGGACGGAGAGCGTGGCGGGTCCGTCGACATCATTCGTGACATCATTGCCGCACGCGCGACTACCCTCAGTCTTGCCTCTGCCACCACCTCCGCCTCCGCTTACGCAGCTGCCGCCGCCGCCGCCACCACCGCCACCACCGCCGCCCCCACCCCTTACGGCTTCCGTTATCGCCCCTCTACCGCCCACTGGCACCTTCATTCAGCCTCCACCGCCGCCTCCCACGTCTCTTGATGTCGCTGTTCCATCGCCCGCCACCGCCTTCACTCAGGCTCCACCGTCAGCTGTATACCCGGGCTGGCCGCCTGTCGCGCCGCCACACTACAACTACATGCCACAACCAAATTTTCCCAATTACAATTGGTGGTAGGGAGACAATTCAATACCGAACAGGACGTATTACAGTGAACCGGCTGCGCAGTTAGCCGTGCCTACCACCTCTACGGACTTATAATCAACATCACAAAATATCACATATTACCATAATAGACAGTTTTAGTGAAATAGTGTGGAGTTTGTAAATAATTTACATGAGGTATGTAGACACCAGTCAGGTGCTGTGCGAAATATAATAGTTTTAAAAGTAACCTGTACATTATCACTATACATTTAACAAGAAAAATGTTCTGTACGCTTTTAAAAAAAGGAAATTTAATTTATACGGTATTATGTGTCTATTTTTAAATCTAATAATTTTAAAATACTTATTATAATATTAATACTTCAGTATAAAGTATATCATGCTGTATCATTATGTATTGTAAAACCTTATGTCCTTAAATAGTTCCTAGCTTTATAAGCTAAGAGATAAGATCCCGGAATATAACTTGTCAATATCATACCCCAGAGACTTCATTCAAAAAATACCAAGATCTGTGATTGTCATAACTACAGAAACACGTAACGTATGTACATGTGACAGTGTGTGCGTTTGTACTTTGTTAGTGCTTGAATAAGCGCGCGCTTTAATGTATAATGTAGACTTACATTATATAGGTAGATAAAGCCTCGAATCTTAAAAACGGTTTAACTTTTTGTCAGTCATTTGTAAAATCAGCTGACTTGTTTTTTTTTTATTTGTATTTTGTATACTTACGTGCACAACATATCTTGACATATCAATATTTAATTATTTAATAAATAAAATGAGTTTTTGCGTATTAAAAAGGAGCAAAAATTATAAAACAAAAATAAATCAAATGAAATTAAAACTTTTAACCATAAATATAAATTTAAATGCTCACGTTATTTTAATAAAAAAACTGCATAATTTTTTTTTTTGTGTTGCAAGTTTTTGAAAATACGAGGATGGTCTGAAAAGATTCCGACCTAACAATGATACATTTTTTTTTTCTTAAATTTTTTATTTATTTTTCTCCGTAGTCTCCTTGTAACACATTACGCTACGCTGGGAGCAGCGATGTTCTCATCTCTAATTCGTTGAAATAGCACTCGGCGCAGTTTTTAGATGAGGGAACAAAAAGAAGAAGCCTGGGGCCAGATCTGGAGAGTAGGTAAGGCAGATGGTAATTGGTGGATTTTTGCCACGGCAAGCGGTGAGGTGTTAGACTACGCGTTGTCTTGGTGAAACAGGATTTTCTTTTTCTGCAAATGTGTCCGTTTTTCCGCAATTTCTGCCTTCAGCTTGTCCAGTAAAGATGCGTAGTATTCTCCTGTAATGGTTTTTCCTTTTTGAAGATAATTAATTAAGAGAACTCCATGGCTATCCCAAAAAACAATCGACATCACTTTCCCAGCCGGAAAAAACAGTTTTTGCTTTTTTAGAGCCGGTTCCCCCTTTGAAGTCCACTGTTTTGACTGTACTTTTGTTTTGGACGTATAATGATGTATCCAAGTTTTATGTACATATTTAATAATCGGCGCCAAAACTTGAATTTATTGCGCTAACAAAGCGTTGGAAATGTTCATTCGAACACGTTTTTGGTCTAGACGCGGCACCCAACGCCCGGACAGTTTTCTCATGTTTAAATCTTGATTTAATATGTGACATACACGTTATTTGGACATTTTCATTACCTCTGCTATCTCTCTCTCACTCCAATTCAGCGGTTGTCTAACACTATTTAGTGAACTTTAGCAATGTTATCGTCAGTAGTTCCAATTTTTGGACGTCCCGAACGTACAGCAACAAAATTTCACTGTGGTAAATGATGGTGCAGAGTTCCCATACACCGAGTCCATCTTATCTTTGATTTGCGTAGGCGTATTACTTTTTCAAAAACAAAAATTTAATAACAGGTCGGTACTCAATTTTTTCCATTCCAAAAATCGTCTCACTCAACTGAAAACTGCGCGTCCAAAATGGCCAAAACTTTGGTGAGTAACTGTCAAAATATGCATACCTACGTTCACCAGCTTTTATTACGAGTGCCGACATCTTTGGCGTAAGGTCGGAAATTTTTCAGACTACCCTCGTATTCCCTATAAATGGATTAAAATTGTCGATATGAGGTGTTTTTTTTTATTGAATTATTTTTAATTGTTGTATTCTGTGCTATTTTCTTGCATAATATATATATAGGATATTTATATTGCTATGTACATAGAGATATTATTGAGTATTATGCAAACTATTTAAAGTGCATTGTTATGACACAATTATTTCAATTATTAACAAAATAGTCATTATTCTCAAGTGACTTCAAAATGGAGATTTTAAATTAGACTATATACGTATATTATATCCAAAGGATCTGTGTTATATGATCTATTCCTTTTAAAATCAAAATCTGAAGTTCCGTGTACATTTATAGTATAGATATCGGTACGAATTAATCAAAATGATCTTCATTTTTATTTAAAGTGGTAAAAGTATTTATATTAAGGATTAAGAAACAATAGCATTAAGAACAAAATAGTATTAAGAATTTAAACTTAAGGTAAAATACAATTCAGTTTTTACATTAAGTCAATTGTAATTAATTAACTCATATTTCCATTCCCATGCGTAAGTAAAAATAAAAAAAATATATATATAATATACGGGATATACCCGTATAAAATTAAAATGAGAAGATTTTGAGATATTCTTATTTAAAGAAATCGGTTAAGTAAAAATTAATTCAAAATTCAATTTCTCGCCTATAACCCTGTGTACCTATGATAAAGTTCTTTTTTTCCTTATACCGTAGTAATCATCTATCTGAGATTGAGTATACATACATACATAGATCCACAAATACCGATTTTCAACTTTCACAATTTTAATAATTTTTAAATCAATATGAAAGAATTACAAAGTTCTATATGTCGCATTCTTATTCTTTATGTACGCATTATTATTAATAAATAAATAATATAATTTATTGTATAAATGAAATTAAATGTAATAAAGGATTATTTAATCGACGACCTTGCCTATTTACCTTAATCTAAAGTAATAATTTCTAGTCTGGTAGCCCAGTCACGAACACAATTGTAAGTGTTGAGATGGTTGGATGGAAAAATAGACGATAAATTTTAATATTTCTTATATTTTATTTTATTATATATGCTAGACATGTAACGCAAGTGACAGAGGAAATCAGAGAACGAAATACAATATGGCGTGCGCCGAGTTATTCTCAGAGCGATAATAGATGGCGCTACGTGTCTCCTTTACATAAATATGATTAATAAATTTAACATAATTACAACACGCCTGCTTAAATTTATAATCTTTTACATAATCTAAATTAATCTTAACTCTAACCTGTTCCTCAAAAATTTTATTTTATCTAGACTTTTAGTTAACATGTCTGCTAAGTTAAATTTTGTATCAATTTTTATAATATCAATTAATTTCTTTTCATAGTTCTCATTTATATAATGATACTGAACTTTGATATGCTTTGAATTTTTTGTAAAATTTCCGTATTTAGCAATTGTAATTGCACCTGAGTTATCTTCATATAATTTTATTGGTTGACTAAATTTTACATCAAATGATTTACTTAGCAAGTTTCTAATAAAAAGTACTTCTGTCACTGCCTCTGACATAGCAATATATTCTGCAAAAGTTGAACATTTAGCTACTGTATTTTGTTTACGTGTTTTCCAGAAAATTAAGTTTCCAAACAATCTAATAATAAAACCGGTTGATTTACATATACTTCTGACGTTACATAACCATTTAAAAAACTGTCTCTACATCCATCTGTTCAATAAATAAATTATTTTTACAACTATATGACAATAAAATTTTTAAAGTTTGCATTTTTCCTACTGGTGAGTAAGCATTATCAATGAATTCCTTTTGCTGGAATTCTCTTACAACTAATCTAGCTTTATAATTATTGCTTTTCCTTTTAAAAACCCACTTAACATCAATAACTTTTTTATCTTTTGGCTTATCAACAATTTGCCATGTATTTTTTTTATTTAAGCTATTTATTTCTGAGTCCATTGCTATTTGCCATTGCTTATAATCATTGGAGTTCATCGCCTCCTCAAATGTACATTTGCATCAATATTATTAACATATATAAAATGTGAAACTGGATTACCATATCTAGAAATTGGAGTTATGTTTCTTTTTTTCCGATCCTACCACTACATCCTTGTCTCTATTATTATTTAAATTATCATCATTTACAAGATCTTTCAAGGCATTATTAGAATTTGTATCATCAGTATCCACATAATTTTCATCACTTTCATAATCAGTTTTTACTATATCTTTTGAAGTTTGGTTTTTGAAGTTTGGTCAATTTCTAATTCTTTATCTTTCTGATCATCTAGTTTTTCTAAGCAAATCAGTTCAGTATTTTCTTCAACTACCTGTACATGCCTAGTATTAATTATTCTATTATTTAACAAAACTCTATAACTATTTTCATTATAACCTACTAAAATTCCTTCTTGTGCTTTATCATCCCATTTACTTTTTCTTAAAACTTCAGGAACCTTGACAAAAACTCTACTTCCATAAATTTTTAAATGCTCTACATTAGGTTTTATCCCAAAAAATATCTCATAAGGTGTTTTATTTTCTACAGTATTTGCAATTGTTCGATTTTTTAAATATGCTGCTGTTTTTATTGCTTCAGGCCAATACCTTCTATGAATTTTAGCTTCTCTCATTAAACACCTACCTATATCCATAGCAGACCTATTGTATTTTTCCGCTACTCCATTTAGTTCATGAACGTAGGGTGGACATGGTAATAACTCTATATCCTTTTGCCTTATAAAATTATAAATATCCTTATTTAAATATTCTTTGCCATTATCGCACTGTATTTTCTTAACTTTTTTATTGAATTTATTTTCTACTAAATTTACAAATTCTATGAAACAACTAGCAACTTCAGCTTTACTTTTAATACAAAATATCCTTGTACATTTACTATAGTCGTCGATAAATGTCATAAAGTATTTTTCTCCACAATAACCAGTTGTGTTATGTGGACCGTTTAAATCAGTGTGAATTAAATCTAAAATTTCAGTAGTCTTAGTTCTATTATTTTCAAAAGGTACATTTGTTATTTTACTTTTAATACAATTTGAACATTTCATTTTTGTGCTTTCAATCTTATCAGGCAAACCGTGTACTAATTTATTATTTATTAATTTATTTAAATATTGAAAATTTACATGACCAAGTGCTCTATGCCATTTCTCTTTCTGAGTTAAATTTTATTGAATATGCAAACATCTCATTTTTTAATACAAAACTTTTTATACAATACAAATTATTTATTTTATCAGCAACAATTATTAATTCTCTAGCTTTATTATAAATTTTTGCATTTGCATGTTTAGCTACTATTGTACAAGTTTTAGTTATTTTTAAAAAAACTTAACAAATTTTGCTTAATACCTTCGACAAAATAAACATTTTTCAAATCCACATGTTTTTGATTATAATAATTCATGAAATAGATTTTAACAGTACCTATTTTAGTAGATTTTAACATTTTGCCATCTGGCAATTTCACATAGACAGTATTTTTCAAATTTATAAAATTATAAAAATATGTATCGTTATTTATTATATGGTCGGTACATCCACTATCTAAAAGCCAATTAATTTCACTGTTATTATTTTAATATTATATATTATTTTTATTATATTATGTTATTATTTTTCATTACCGAGTCGCTATTGGCAATATTTTTCTCTTTTATTTTAGAACATACATAATCAACTGTTCTTTGTTCTTCTGGAATTATATCAAGAAAATCTCCTATATAACTATAGCTTGGTGGAAGAGCTTTAAGCAAGTATCTTAACTTCTCCACTTCATCTATTTTTCCTCCAGCCGCTTTGAACTCATTTATTGTTTTCTCGAAAGAAACAAAAAAATCTTCTAATGTTTAGTCTTATCTCTTCAATTTTTCCTCTACATATTATCTGCATAGCTGTAGACTGTGTTAAATACATCTTGTCAAACTTCTTTATCATTTCATATGCTGTTTTGCATTCACTAATATATTTTAATTGTTTATCTGAAATTGTACTCATTATTATAGTCCTTGCTTTTAAATCCTTCTTTTTCCATTCCGCTTCTGCATTTTCATTTTGGCATCTTGTTAATGGCGGCCTCGTGGCATTCTTTGTATTCCAACAAAGTTACTAACCTTAATTTCCAGCTTGAATAGTTTGCACCATCAAAAATAGGTATCATAATATCTTCTATTTTCTTATTAATATAAATTTATATACTTTCACGATAATTTTTTTTTTCGTTGCGTGTCACTATAACCTCAAACTTGAATAGCACTTTTAAACTTTTATACTTTGTATTTCACTTATATCAATCAGTTTTTCTTTTTAAACGACGCTCTGCTTCCATGTTGAGATGGTTGGATGGAAAAATAAACGATAACTTTTAATATTTCTTATATTTTATTTTATTATATATGCTAGACATGCGACGCAAGTGACAGAGGAAATCATAGAGCAAAATACAATATGGCGTGCGCCGAGTTATTCTCAGAGCGATAACGGATGGCGCTACGTGTCTCCTTTACATAAATATGATTAATAAATTTAACATAATTGCAACAGTAAGAAAAAGAAAAACAGAAAAAGTTGACCCGCTTTTTTCGAAGCATTTGTATAGAGACACTATCTATATAATAAGAATGTAGATTTTGCTGTGACTTTGAGAAAGTTGCGCAGCGTTAATTGTAAAGTTAATTGTTAAACGAATATTTAGAGAATAACAATGTTGCATCAATGTTGTATCACTTAGTAATAATATGATATTAATATTTAAACAAATTTATTTTCACATATTTACTATATATAATTATTAATACAGATCGAAGTACAAAAGTTTTCATTTATCTACTGCAACAATAAGTAAATATAATGACATTATCAATATTACACTTTTTCTTAGTACAATACTGTAACTTTTCACTATTATGAATATTTATATAAAAAAGGGCTTTAAATTACCATTTACGTATGCACCATAGTTCTCAGTAATAGCAATGCATGAGTGAAATCATAGGTGTCAAAGTATATTCTAGAATATACATATTAATTTTAATGTTTATAAAACAGTCATCTTTTTTTATTAAGTGGGATAATATATTTTATTATTTTGTTAGTTGTCTAAATGATCACCCAAGTATAGTCAACCTCAAATTTTAAATAACAATTAAATAATTTGGATTTCTGTCAAAATTAAGCCTAGCTGCTTATCATACCTCGTAAATATGCAATCCTCTATCTTTCTTTGAATAAAGACATCTATTAGACTTTGGGTGCCGACGCGTGTTTGAGAGTGTTAAGTTAGATCGCAGCGGGCGACTGGGTGTTCATACTGAACTTTAGTACTATTGTTTATCTTGTGTCAATATATATAGTCAAGTAACTTGATGCAGTGTTGTCCGTGTGTTTCCTACATTGAATAGGCCACCGCTTCCTTTCCAGTACCTGTCATAAGAGGCGAATAAATGAACTTAATGCTTGAGGAATGGGCAGCACCGTCCATTTTAAAACATTACTAATGGCCTAACTACAGTTACCAACTCGCTTGTCATCGTGGCAACTACTGGCAAAATCCTCCCAATGCTAAACACTACAAAGAAATGACCACCAATACTCGGCAGCTGCACTATTCCTGACCAAGATAGCAGTCATGGTAACAGTAGAGCAGGGGGTGCGAAGAATTTTTGGAGGAGATTAGTCTACAAACAAAAACGACTGGATCTGGCAACATATAACGCACGAATTTTAATGAGATGAGGATCAGAACATTATTGAATTGAAAAGAAATGTGAACAAGTTTCACTGGAATATTAAAGGATTAAGTACCTGAAATACAAATACATGGGGAGGATACGTAACATTTCATTATATTAGTTTTTAACCGTACACTGCTGAACACAGGCCTCCCCTTATTGGCAGATTTTTCCAGTGGTTGCCATGCTTGACAGGAGAGTTGACAACCGCAGTTAGTCTTTATTAATGTTTTACGACGCTGCTATCCCATCTCCATCATCATCTATTACGTTCATCTATCACCATTCCTCGACTATTACGTTCCCTTAATCGCATCTTACGACACCCACAGGAAAGAAAATGGTTGCTTATTATATACCGAGATTACATGGCGATTTTTGGAATCTACTGGAGGATGTTACTGATGATCCTCAAATCCGG